CATAAAATGAAAATAAAAAATCGCAGTGCATACATAACCATCGTTCGACTATGCATGTGAAAAAGGACCTATATTCAGGCGTTATATACGGAGGGAATTAAAGGGCATTTAGTATGCGGAAAGGGTTGAAATATTTGAGTCTAGGCCCGATCTACCTGTTACTTATATCTATTAGTATCTATCTGTTTATAGCCATCTTTGTATCTGTGTTGGATTTAGATTTGATCAGTACCTATCTAAATATCCATCTATGTCTTTATAGCTAGATATCTAAATATCGATCTATATCTATATCTATCTTTATCTAAATATCTATCTCTATCTATATCTGTCTTTATCTAAATATCTATCTCTATCTATATCTATCTTTATCTCTATCTATATCTATCTTTATCTATATATCTATCTCTATCTCTATCCATCTTTATCTAAATATCTATCTCTATCTATTATTTATTTATCTACATCACTAAACTAATCTATCTTTATCCATATCTACCTACATCTACCTTCTTATCTTCACATAGGCCTATATCCATCTACATTACTATCATTTAACTATATCTACCTACATCTATCTATCCATCATCATATAACTCATTTCACATTATTATATATACGCCTATTACCATACAGAAATAGAGACAAAAAATTAATGAATGAATAAATAGATAAATAAATCAATTTCCACAAACCAAATATATGATATAATATAAATCACACAAAAAACAAACAAATAAATAAATAAATAAATTTCCACAAAACAAAACAAAACAAAAAAAAATACATTTCCACAAAAAAAATCCACAAAACAAAATAATAAATAAATACATTTCCACAAACTAAACAAATAAATACATTTCCACAAACCAAACAAATAAATACATTTCCACAAACCAAACAAATAAATACATTTCCACAAACCAAACAAATAAATACATTTCCACAAACCAAACAAATAAATACATTTCCCCAAAACAAACAAACTAAACCAACGGATAAACAAAATCCCACCAAAACAAAAAAAACAAAAAAGCAAAAAAGGAAATCGTCCAGCGCGCGACACTCACTCGTGCTCTCCGTCCCCTGGATATCCGGGCAAGCCTGGTACCGGAACAGCATCCGCCAGTCCTCGGTGCAGGAGTCGACGGTGCTCCTCGGGTACTCGCAGTCGGCGTGACCCAAGTTGTAGGTGAAGGTGTAGGTGTGGGGGAACGGGCAGGCGACGGGCGACGCCTCCACCCTGATCATGGAGTGAAGGACAGCGTCACCCGTTAGGCGCGAGCAAGCTTCGTCCAGAGTCTTGTCGTTGTCGCAGTAGGCTGGAGGGAGACGGGGAGGTTACGTTTGAGACTTAATTGATAAGAGTGATGATGGTGAAATAATTGATAATTGATAAGGGTGATGATGGTGGAATAATTGATAAGGGTGATGATGGTGAAATAATTGATAAGGGTGATGATGGTGGAATAATTAATAATTGATAATGGTGATGATGACGAAATAATTGATAATTGATAAGGGTGATGATGGTGAAAATTACTGATTGATATCAATCGTAAAGGGATAGTATTGAGGAAACTAACATCTATCGCAAAAGAGAGTAGTGAGGAAACTGTTAATTTATATCTATCATAAGAGGATAGTATTAAGGATACCAACACCTATGGTAAAAGATAGTAATGAGGAAACTGCTAAATAATATCTATCGTAAGAGGATAGTATTGGGAAAACTACTGATTAATATCTATCGTAAGGATGATGATGATGAATACTGCTAATTAATATATATGGTAATGGGATAGTGTTGAGAAAACTGTTAATTAATATCTATCGGAAGGGTGATGACGGTGAGTGTTATTCTTATGATTGTTATTATCATCATCATTGCTAATGATTATTTGGTGTCGGATTTTCAGCTTTTTCCTATCTAATATCGATAAAAAGAAATTAACTAAGTAAATCATGAGCATGCCATAACAAAACAACAACAACAATAGAATATATATCAACCAGTTATACATTGATATAAATAATCTCATATTACCTTAATTTCACTATATAGGAAGCACACACACACACACACACACACACACACACACACACACACACACACACACACACACACACACACACACACACACACTACTACATTCTCTCTATACAATATATCACGGTGTTACATTCTCCCCACATACAACACGCGTAGTTTAAATGACACAACCAAATCATAGCATTAATCATAGTAAAAAAAAAGAAAAAGAATCATAATGGTAACACGAAACACACTCCCTTTAATTACTTATGGAGTGTGAAACGGCCTCTCCTAATCTGAAGTAACCCATTAAAAGTTTGAAAGCACTATTCACCTCCAAAGATTGTCAAGATGGCGCCGTTTCAGATCCTCGCCTTCTCTTTCGCTCACTTTATATACCTTTTTGTCACCCCTGTCGCTCTTTCTTCGTTTTCGTCGTCTTGACAACCCGACAGTGTTTGTGTT